CGTCATGTGCGTTGAAGAAAAAGCGAAGGGTGTCCAGCGCATCCAAAACAACCCACGGGCTGGGTTTCTCCGTGTGCGTCTCTTCTTGGTCCTCGGGGTCGTCAGCTTCGCGCACGCTTTCGATAATGGCCTCATCAGTCACTTCCTCGTACACGACTAGGTCGTCATCGGCGCGAACGAACGCATCAATGGTGAGTTCATCTGGGTTTGTTGATGTCGATGGCTCGAAGTTCCCCCCAAGCGTTGGTCAGGGATAAAGGCACTGCACTGCCACCACTCTCGCCGTCACGTGCGCCTTCGTCCAAATCTTCCTCTGGTGAGGCCGAACTGCAATCCGTGCGTGATGCTTAGACGGTGGGGGTGAAGGCCGCATGCTTGAAGCAGTTCTCAATCAGTGACGGGGATGTTGCAACCCGTACGGCGGTTACCATCTCGAAAGCCATGCACAAGTTGACGTCGGTGGGGCGCTTGTGGTGGAGGTTGAGTAGCAGACGCTTGATCAACCTCTCCCTGTAGGCGAACTTGACGCTCCGAATTACGCCTTGTTCGAGCGGCTGCAGAACGAAAGTGCAGCTCGGTAGGAAAAAACCAAGCGCACGTTCGTGAGCTCCGTCTCGTCGATGTGCTGGGCGCTACAGTTGTCTAAAAAAAGGGCCACCAACCTGCCTGCCTTGTGCATGTCGGCATCGAACGCCTTGACCCAGCTAGAAAAAAGAGCCCGAGACATCCACGCCTTCTTGTTTGGTGTACTGAACGGGCAGCGAGTGGCGGTTTCCTTTGAAGCAGCGGGGCTTCTCGCTCTGGCCGATGACTAGGAGTGGCTGCTTGTCTGTGCCGTCCATATTGCAGCACAACAAAGTGGTAACGCGTTGCTTGCTGTGCTTGCCCCCGTGCAACTTCTGGCCTTTCAAGTCCAGGGTCTTCGACAGGAGCAACTGAAAGAACAGTCCCGTCTCGTCCGCGTTGTACACGCCACAGGGCCTATACTGGTCCAGTACTTGTTTGTTGGTCAGCAGCCACAACGAAGCTGTTACCGGGTCAACGGTTGCGGCTTCTCCCGAAATCGCCTTGGCCATGATGTCATGCCAGGCTTTAAAGCGGCCCAACCAGCCAACGCTAGCTCGGAACTGGTCGTGCTCGAGGATGCTGGCAAAGTTCAGTATCTTCTGCTGTAGAATTTTTGCCGACAGTGGCACTCTGTTGGCACGCTGTTCATAAAACCACACGAAGACCGCTTTATCGACGTCCGGAAAGGCCGCCGCGGCCACTTTCTTGTTCTGCGCACATGCGCCATTGTCAAGCGCAGCAAGAATGGCATCTTTGCACTTCAATATGGTCGAAAACGAGCTGCACACAATTCTATGCTCTTCGGCAATATTCTTCTTCTTCCTGCCCTTTTCAACTTTGGCAATGATGGCAGCCTTATCGTAAAGCGACAGAAACTTCCGCTTTTTGGCTGGCAGGGGCATCTTAGCAAGAGCCGATGTGCCGGTAGCCACCCACAGCACTTTCACGCAAACAGGCATACACAACACAACTCGTGGCGCTCGCATGTGTGAGGCTACAAAAGTGACGAAATGACGAAAGCAATGCAGGATAGATTGTGTCGCCACCTAATGGTGTCGCTGCAAGGCTGCTTAACATGATGATGATATTATTGCCGTTCTTTTCTTTTTTCGCGATCAGCGGAGAATCCGCTTCCGGCGTCAAGCTTTTCTCAGGCGTCATTGTAACTTCATCTCAATTTCGCCACTAGTTCCAGTCTTCTCTTCGCCATTTTGATTGATTCTAACTGTTGATGTTGCTTCGGCCTGTTGAGCTCGTCCGACGGTGCCATCTGCACTCCAGCATAATCATTTGCCATCGCCTGCTGCAGTGTGGCCAGGCATGTTGCCGGACTCAGGCACCATCGCCGAATTAAGTAAGCAAAAATGGCGGTACCCACGCTAGCGCGGCAAATGGAGACGTTTACAAATTTTTAGTGTTCATAACACGCATACAAGCATATTGTCGACAGTTAACCTTTGGCAGGCGGGTAAAATAAGGCTCACACTGTGGTAGAAAATTCGTTAATGTGGGATCGCTGTCCAAAAACATTTTGTTGTCGCGAGATGCGCAATACATGGGCTTCTATGAACGTTCGCCGCGGATCCAGAAATATTTCGTTGCCGCAGGGATTTCGTGCTCGTGGGGTTTTGTTATTGCGGGTTTGGACTTTAGAAATCTACATCTGGTCATCTGGGTTACTCACGGACACTTCATAGAGTGAGCGAGAGGTACTATTGGCCTGGAGTTTCGGCAAATGTCAAACATTACACACAAGGGCTGTCAAGAATGCCAGCATGGAAAGCAACCATCTGCTAAGCCAGCTGGTTTACTTCAGTCAATTTAAGCACATTGCACGCCGTTTGACTGAGTTGGCATGGATATTGTCGGACCATTTACCCTGTCTGGTGACGGCAACAAAAGGGTGATCGTAGCGACTGATTATTGAACATGCTACACTGAGACGCAGGCAATCCAATGAGCCACTGCCTTTAAAGTAGCGCACTTTTTTATGCGCCTCTTTGTGTTGCATCAGGATGCGACTTCTAGCGTAATAACGGACAGAGGCACAGCATTCAAGGCACAGCTTATGGGAGAAGTTTTTGAACTAAGCAACACTAGACACCGAAAGACAACCGCGTACCACCCGCAAACCAATGGGCTTACCGAACGACTAAATAAGACGCTCACAAACATGATTGCAATGTACACCAGGTACAGCACTAAACATATGATCACATCTTGCCTTCATGACTTTCGCCTATAACACCGCCTTGCAAGAGACCACGCGATTCATGCGATTTTGGCTTCTCAATGGCTGCGAAGTGCAGACCATGCTGGACTGAGTGCTACCGTGTCAAGACGATGACGAGTTAACAACTGACGCCGAGGAAGCCGCAGCTTGATAGCTCATGCGACTGCATATTGTGTAGCAGCAGTAGGCAGACACACGGGGCTATAACACTCGCCACAGAGAAGTGTTCTACAACCCCGGAAACGAAGTTTGGATGTGGTTCCCTGCTCGCAGCCTTAACCAGAAGGAATACTGATGCCCTCTGTAAAGTTGTTTGTGCCACGTGGCGCACGTGTCTTGCGCAGAGGTCGTGTCTTGCGCAGAGGTCGTGTTTCGGGGTCACAACTATTGACTGGTAGGTGGCATTGTGCTTGTGAGCATTTATCACCACCATCATCATCATGGTTGTTAGATCAGTAGCACCGGCAGTGACACTTGGCAGCAAGCCTGGTTGCAGGTGCAAAAGAAAGAAGTGTCTCTTTGGCGTGGCGTAGTAGCGCGAACGGTTGTCTCTTGCGTGGGTCCTCGGTGCTTGGCACTGCGGACCATTTGCCAGGGGCACTTATGGCGAGTCAGGCGTTGGTGACGCCGCCTTGTGTGTGTCATTGTGTTTTTTATGTTGTTGAGTGCTATGTAATACTGTGTAAGGTTGTTTAGCACGTGGATCACAAATTATGTATAATTATTCAACTGATGATATCGTCGTTCTAAAGGTAGTGAAATAAATGAGTGTTGTTTGGTTCATTCTGACCATGTCAACTGTATCTGTTCACTCTAAGAGCATGGAGCTCGCTCTCCACATCGAGACCCCACAGGCCTTAGTGAAAAGTTAACTGAGCCGGTACTTGGGCCCGTACAATGTGCTATGCCGCGTCAGTGACATGAATCGCAAAGCAGTCCCAGGCTCAACACTGCAGGCACGGACCAGCACACGACTGAGCTTGCATGTTGTTCATTGTTTTTCACGTGAAACCTGGGGGGGGGGGGGGTGCTAACACCCCCTGTAAAATTGTTTGCATGGTGCATGTGTCTTGCACATAGGCCGCATTTCGGGTTCACAACTGCTGTGCGGTAGGGGGCGTTGTGCTTGCACGTGTTTATCACCACCATCGTCATCATGCTTAGTGCGTAGCACCAACAGCGACGCCTGGCAGCAGGCTTGGGTGGCAGCGCCAGGGATATGAGGGGTCCTCTTTGGCGGGTGGCAGTTGTCGCAAATGGTTGTCTCTAGCTTGGGTCTCTGGTGCGCGGCACCGCGGGTTGCGTGCCAGGGGCCCTTGTGGTAAATCAAGCGTTGCCGAGGCCGCCTTGAGTGTGTTCTTGTGTTTGTCATGTTGAGTGTTGTGTAAATGCTGTGTAAGGTTGTTTTAGCATGTTGATCACAATCGATGTTATATTTAATATGGCTGGTGATAATACCATTTTAAATGTAGGTAAATAAATGTGTGTGGCTTGGTTCCTCTCGACTGTGTCTGCTGTGTCCGTTCACTTCAAGAGCAAGGTGCTCTCTCTCCATTTCGAGATGTCGCGAATCAATCATTGCACGTTTGTAACTTTCTTGAATCATTCATCAGTCTTTGTTTCTGCTTTTTATTAATTTTTGTTAACTTGCTTGTTCGTTTGTAGGTTTTTCCTAGATTGTTATGCTCTTTCATTTCTTTTTCTCTTTATCTCAGTTTTCTATTTCCTTTTTTTTTTCATGGGTCTATACTGTAGCATCAGGGTGGTGCTATGTATTTTTTCTCTCTCTCCTTTTTTACTTTTCTTTTTGTTTTTAAGGGGGGGGATAAAAAATCTCACGCTCCTTTTCTGCTCGAGAGCCAGCCACGACGGATGCATTTTCTAGAAGATAGCTGCTTGGTGGCTTATTGAACCCACAGTACTTCTAGTCTCGTGACAATACCGTTAATCTCGTGCCCACCTTTGATTGGTTTGGGCTTTGTAACCTTGTCTTTAGAAACCTCAATGCAGCCAGCTGCATTCTGCAACACTTGATATGGTTGTTGCTCTCATTGTCACTGGTTTGTTATCTATGAGCGTTTTGCTTTTATGGCTACCTGTTGAAATTGCAATGAGTTATCTGTAGAAGCACATGTTTGAGCCATGGTCATCAGAGGTTTGACTTGGATGCATAATATCCCTCACTGATTGTCTGTTCCAGGTGCGAGAGGATGAGCTGGAGGAGCTTGACTTCCTCATGGACAACAGCTGCAAGGTGTTCGTGAAAGGGGGAAGTGAAAACTCCTATGGCAAAGTGAACATTCTGCTGCAGAACTACATCTCTCGTTGCCCTGTTGAGACCTTCTCCCTGGTCTCCGACCAGGCTTACATTGTGCAGGTGCGTCTTAGTCTAAGATGGTGTGTTCTCTTACGTAAGATCGATGGTTAGCTGGTTCACACTCTTTAAAATGGTTGGTGTAGAGGACTAAAATACATGCACTCACCAGGTAGTGATGCCTTCACACAAATATGCATTCTCACCTCTCTGGGTGCAGAATAGGCCATGACCACAGACCTGACTTCCTTATGAAAGTGGCAGTTTTTCATCTCATCTCAGTGCATCTTATTCATTGAAGGCCCACATGCAGAGGGCAACACTCCTAACGCGTGCTTAATGTTGCCAGTTGAGAACATACCAAGCTTCAAGTCTCGGGGTTTTTTTTTCAGTGTCCCCAACAAAAGTTATGCTGAGCTTTGCATTTTCTGCATGTTGCTCATGCGTTGGTGGAACCTGTCACAACAGCTCTTGCGTTGCCATTGTGGGCTGGGCCTTTTTAGGATGCCAACGGATCCAAAAACTTTACAGAGAAAGCAGTTACAGTTCATTCAGCCCATATATATATTATAACGGCCTCACTTATAATGAACTTTCGCTTAAAGCAAACAACACCTGCGCGTGACCATGGAAATATACATTATTTCAATGGTACACAAAGGTGGGTTGCCCTCTTCAATTTATGAAGAGGTGAAGAGGGCAGTCTTCATAATATGAATTATGAAGAGGGCAGCCTTGGTGGGCTGCCCTCTTCAATTTATCACAAATCCTTCGCTCGTCTCCAACACTACACGTGGCCAGCGATGCTGGCTCAAATTAGGCAGTCCCCCCCCCCCCCCCCCTTTTTTTTTTCCTAACTAGAAACAGGCCCACATTCGTTCCAGACAACCTGGCTTGCATGTCACGCATCTGTCTCACTCTTGGTGTGCCTGTGTGGCCAGGATGGTAAATGGGAGGCATTCCACGCCTTTTCCTGCCGCTAAACAAAATGTTGAAAGTGCAAATGCTCGACTTGAACGTACAGTCGCCGACCGTTTATTCGGACGCTGAAAATTCGGACATGCTCGTTTCATTGGACATCTTCATGGCACCGCCACTCTCCCCATTGATCCTAATGTAAACCCACGACCGAAAATTCGGACACCCCACTGTGCGCCATTCGATTATTCGAACTGCGTTTGGCTGACCGGATGTGTCGCTGTACGCCATTACACGCTGACAGCGACGTTAACAATACAATTGCTAAGTCGCCAGCACTGATATGCTGCACTAGCTATGAATGGATGTCGGGCCAATGTCAAAATGCACGCGAAATCGCCATTGCCTATCTCGAAGGCTATGTGTGGCGAGGCTTTTTATTTTTTAGCCAGTCGAGCGGCCAAGCTAAGCCACCTGCAAAGTCTGTTTGCTGTGGCGTTTGGCGTGTGTCAGCAGTGTCAGTCAGCTGCTTCTGCGGCTAGGCCTGGTTTTTCTTGTTCTCTGGGTTCTCGCTCTCTTGAGGGTTCCGTAGCATGCTGAAATGGCTTCGACGCCACCCATTGCTGTGCCTTTGGGAGTGAATAAACGCGGCCAACGTGGGAGCTACAAGACGCTCACGATGACGAAGAAAGCGGAGATAATTCGCCAGGTAGAAGGTGGCCGACCTCAGTCTGAAGTGGCTTGAGAATTTTCCATTTCCAAGCAAACCGTCTCGGAAGCGTGCGTATGTGTAGACATGACAGGTTTTTTTTTTTTTTTTTTTCGAGTGAATCCGCTTTTTCGGACTCCCGATATTTGGACTTTTTGGTGGTTCCCGTCGAGTTCGAATAAACGGCCGGCGACTGTAATCCACGCGTTTAAAACTTATTATAGGGGCTTCCTTATGGAGCACTTGCTCACAGCAGTTGACCGCCCTGCAGCCATCTTGGCAGCCAGCTGTGGAGATGGTGAAGGCTTTTTCTTCACAACGGTCACATATGTGCGAAACTGTGTTCGCGACGCTGGCTTCCTCAGTGTCGGACCCAACGTTCAGCCTGAAGCTTCCGAACGGGACCACTCCACTCTGGCTGTTACACGAAACTAATCGCGAATAATGAAGAGTTCCCGCAAGCCCGCTGATGCCACAATGCGACTTTGTGACCTTTGCATGCAAGGCACTCTCCCAATTTTTGCTTCCTACCTGAGTTGCGCATTTCGGAAACCCTTCAAGAAAGCAAGCTACCCAGCTTGCCTTTTTGCCGCATGTTTTGGTTTTCAATATGCTTGTGGTAATAGTGAATTTTAGGTTCAAGGTAAATAAGAATTTTGTTTGAATAACTTCAAATTGAATTTGAATAACATATCTATCGCATATCACACAAAAGATGAACATATATGTCCTGACCCAACTAATCTGTAAATTTTTTTTTTTTACTGAAATAAGGCCTGTACCAATGCTATTCTTTTTTGCTCAAAGAAAGTGGGAACAACTTTGAATATTAGCAGGATTTGACTTTAGGTAGAATGCAAGTGATAACCTGCACAATACGTTATGTTTTAAAATTTACTATACCTAGGCCATATAAACCAGTATAACAAGCTTTTAAATTTGAAAAACGATGAATCGATGTTACGGTAATATGTTCATTTAAGAAGTGGAACTTCGCAGCCATGCAGATTTCTCTTGAATACGTGTTTTTTTTGCTTCGCACCCCTTTGGTGCAGCGAAACTACCTTTACCGGAAATTACACGCGGTTTAGTATACATTTAGGTACGTGTTTCCATGGCCGAGACACTTCCACTGCAAATGATACCACCTTTATGAAAGGTTACATGTGGACTAATAAATTGTCATGAGTAAAAGGGCACGAGGCGCGTGCCGAATGCTAGAGTGTGGCTATAGTGCGTGAGGCCCCGATAGTGTGTATAGTAGCCACATTCACGTAGGTGATTGGTTGGAGGAAAGCCCGTGGCGCGTAACCCGAGTGGTGGTGGAAAACCCCCGAAGATGAGGTGGCAGGATCTTTGCCACTTGGCGTTCATATGATTTACAAACTGAGCGGCGCTACTATAACAATACAATTCTTGGACACTTTTACAGTGAATATTATCTGAATACGGAAAAACTTGTTGCGGTATTTATCAGGGCTTTGACACTCTGAGATTTTGAGCAGGAATCTTGGCCACGAACGTTTTCAGCTGGCTTGGGGACAGGATAAATGTTCCAGTGGGGGTCACGCTTGTACCCGCCAGAACACATCTCGCCGAAGTCGATCACTACGATAATTTTCACTTGGCAGAAATTCGTTTACTGGTAAAAGCCAGACACAGTTCCAAGGTCTGATAGGCCACGTTCAAGCATATGATAGCAGGACTCTTCGAACGTGTACTATGATATACTCAAGCCGAAGAATAACATTTCTATATAACCTTTGTATGTTCTGCTAACAACTCAACACGCACACACGTGCGCACTACAGACATTCGGTTTATTCAGTGAACTTCACTGGTATGCGAGTATACAACATATTAATACATATCCTTACTGCCCTAATGTGCAAGCAATGTTTCACGCAGAAAGCAGACACATAGAACAGCGGAATACTGTTGATTATATTTTTCGATTCACACGCAGATTATAGTCAATTACTTGTCACATTATATGCCACATATGTTACCCAAAGTTTACGAGAATTGTAACATGCAAACTTGGGTTGTTGCATTGCCATTCACACCTTTCATATCTGCGCACCCCGTCTGCAAGTGAAAGATGCCTGCGGAAAGCACTGGGAGAGAACGAAATCACTCTTCCACGGTGTGAAATTGATTCTCAGCAATATATCTCAATCAGTTGAACTTGCGCCCTTAATGGTGGGCGAAAAGTAGCGCATAGTGATTTTACCCAAACTGTCTTTTTTACTACCAGCCACGGTGTTCTAGTAGTTATGGTGCTCCATTGCTGACACGCAGGTCGTGGAATCAAATCCCTGTCGTATTTTTTATGTAGGCGAAAATACTCAAGGCCCGTGCACTGTAAGTGCGTGCTAAAGACCCAAAGTGGTGAAATTTCTGGAGTGCCCCATCACGGCGTCTCTCATAATCATACTGTGGTTTTTATAACCACCTCTTATACTCACCTTGTTGCCCACAAAAGATCAGAGTGTCTGGGATGTAGATACGTTTTTTTCTGGTTATTTCATTTTGTGCTTGCGATGATGACTCTATCTTTTCACCGATTGACTTGCCTCTGAGTGCTTCTAGAAAATTTGTCGCGTATAGAGCAACAGTCATGTGGTAGTCACACTCGTTGTGGTTTCTGAAATTTTCAAGCGCGTTCTTCCAATGTGTGAACGGAAAGGAGACCAAGCTTGCCCAAAAATGATGAGTCCCCTTGCCTGAACTTTCTTTTCCAAAAAACACGCATGTCTTGCTCCCTCCTGATATTTGGAATACACCAGCGGCCAAGAAAAAATTTCTTCCCGGTGAGGTTGGAACTTCAGTTTGCGCTTACTAACTGAGTGAAAGCTGTAGTTGGCGCCTGGATTCCATGTCGTCACTAGCAAACGTTGTCTAGACTCATCGTGCTGCAACTCCTGGCGTCGTGGCCCGTTAAACACGTGAATACTAATGTCGTTGCGAGAAATCGAGGTTTACGTGGATGCATGATGCTCCGATTGGTTTTCAGTAGTTTGTTCGGCACACGAGTTGTATGCAGGCAGTGCAGAACTACAGCTGGGAACCGTTTCTTCGGCTGCTGTAGCTTTTTCGCCAGTCGTCGAGTGTGCACTGGGAGCAGCGTCGCCTTTCGAATAATAATCAAGTGTTAGCTTATGGTGTTTCAGTGTGGCTATCAAGTCTCATAGAGAAGCGCTGATTGACACAGAACACGAACTACCCAGCAATGCTTGTGTATAGGCAGCATATTTCAAAGGTGTGACTTCGCATTGCTAGGAAGCAACACGTTCAGCAAAGTTCAGGCAGCGACACTGAATGCGAAAAATGACAACTTTACCGACAATACGTGCTGGCTGGTAAAGTTCCACCTGAAACACTAGCCCTCGTTTTTCTCCTGGTGGGAAGATTCGCAGGTATACATTTCCTCCGCTTTCCTTCAGGTGCCAGTAAGGTCGCACTCGCCCAGTGTTTTACTTTCTGTGCGCGAAATGTCTCGCGTTTGTGATTGTGCCCTTATGGAAGGCTGGTTGTTTCTGTTGCGTTGTGATCCCACACCATAAATGTGAATTAACGCAAAGGAGTTGATGCCAGGAGTGAAATTCCGGTGACTCGTATCAGAATTCTTAAAACGGACAACTGCCAGACATGGATCGTGCACAGTACGTCGTAAATAAACTCATGTTGTGTGCGCTGGCGTTCTCATCAGAGTTCACATGTTCTGAGAAAGTGATTATGGTGCACTATACTCTGAACAACTCCAGAGTTCATTTCGTCATCACTGGTGAACCAATTGTTCGAGGTTTTGTGTGGTACAAGGCTGCTCCTGTTCGCGCCGGCTAAGTGCTGCAAACATGAACGTACATACCAGTTAGAAAGGCGTATACATGGCATATCAATGCTGTGTGGCGCAATATTCTATAGAGTTATCAATCTGTTGACGTAAAGAGAAATGACGGCTGCACGCTTGCAAACAACGAAAGACACCTTGCCGCAACACTATCTTTTCAAGGGCAGAGCGACGAAACTACGAAAGAAAAACAACAAACAACATTACACGGTTTTGCGCGTGTTTACGTTTCCTGGCGCTTATATGCAGCGAACAAGCCATTTCTATATGAGTTGGTATAGTTCGCTCTTGGGTGCATTTTAGATTGAAACGTCGTGAACATTTCCCAACAATCATTACCTTGCCCTTGCAGATTGCGGTATAAAACTCCCTCAGGTTGGAGTACTTCATTGATATCAAAAGTCACAGTGCATCTCTAATGTCAGCCATAGTTGCAAGAAAGTCTTCCTGAAAAATAATGCATGCAAAATCCTGTTGTCAACGTGCCGCATAACTTAAAAAATATTTCTTATTGCATATCGCAAGCATGCCTGCATAGATGCCTGCAGTAAACTAAAAAAAAAATATGTTGACTAAAGGCGATCATTGCGTCAGGACTGCTTGATATATGGAGCTGAACACAAAAAATTATTCCCATAGGCATGCAGTCGATCTCATTCCACATTGTAAGGGGAGCCGTCCTTGACTTGTGAAACGCACTTCACCCTGACAGGGACTGCTCTTTCTGCTTTTGCTTTGACTGTGCTACGCCTTAAGCGCAGGCCTGGCGATTTTTTTTAAATGCTTCTTTCTCAAGACGCCATTTTGCGCAACTTCTTGAGTTAGGACATTGTGTTTTTGGTACTTCTGATTGCCAGATCAGGAACTATTTTTCTCCACATATTCCTTGGCAAGCAAAGAGTGCAATTATATTTTTTTAAACCATATTTATTTTATATAATCATCTTGAACACTAAGTAACCAAATAGTGAGGGCTGAGAATTTTCACACATGCATTACAGTTTGCCTTGTTAATTAAAATGCCTTATAAGCACTTTGTTGTTTGTTATTTGCATTCCACAGTTTATGTGATGCAATATGAGCAATTAATGACTCATAACTAGAAGTGTGGAAATATTCGAAATTTTGAATATTTTTCTTATAGTGTTTGCTACTTGATTGGATTCGCCCTGAAGTTTTACTATTTAAAACTATTCAAACTTCTGAAAACAAATACAGTCGTTAGATTTTTAATATGCATCACCTTATCACACTCTCGCATTGTGGCAAAGCTGCTTATTAGGCCTCTTTACAGAAGTGTAGACTCGAAAAAATGCTGGCTCGAACATAGAGATGATAGATGTGGTTGAGGTGGGGGCTCAATTAATGCTGTTTGGGACCTGAAATTCGGGCAGAAAGTCTGAAAAAGTGGACACGCAAAATTTGTAACATCCAGAATATCGGATTTTGACTTGTAATCATTCCTGATTGCCAGTGCTTCTTTAACACAGCCAAAAGAAACACTTCCGTGTTGTTGCAATTTAATGAGAATATGCCCAAGGGGGACCACTTTGTTTTCCTCAATTTTGCTTTGAATTATTCGAGAAATATTCTAAAAAGATTAAATTTCATTCACACTGACACTTCGATATTCAAACTTGCTTTGTGCACAGAATTTTTCTATTCGCACAGCTCTACTCATAGCCGTAGGATTTGAGTGGCGGGAAAAGTGTCTCTAAAAGGATTGAAAACAGCTAAACTTCAGAACGATAGGTTCAGGGAACTGGGAGACGGAGGAGGGTGCTGTGTGGTTTGCCGTGATTGCTCAACGAATATGAGCTATATTTTACACCTTGTAATTGTGTAAAAAAAAAAACTATGCAACTTACTATGAAACTAATTAAATGCTTGAAGTCGGCACCAAAATCAATACGAACAGCAAAAGCTTGATTGGCCTGGGCTGAATTTTTTTCCTTTTGGGTAGATTTACAATTTCAATGTAGCCATGACTTGTGTGATTGCTGTGCAGAATGCCACCCGTATTCTTCGCGCCCTCTTCGACATGGTGCTCCGGGCAGGTGGGGCCACCATGGCTGGCCGCATGCTCACCCTGTGCAAGGTGGTCGAGAGACAGACGTGGAACTTTGAGACACCTCTGAGGCAGTTCTCCGAGCTTGGCTTTAACGTGCTAAAGAACATAGAGGAGAAAAACTTAAGCCTGGAGCAGATTAGAGACCTCGGCTGCAAGGACATTGGTGAGGAGGGCGCCTCTTTTTTTTTTAGTCCAAATGGGAATGGCAAGTGCAGCAGGGAAGTACTTACTAGGCTTGTGCGAATACTACTATATTTGAGTTCACTTTGTTAAATTGTTGAAAATTTCAAAGAAGTGAACAAATAAGTGTTATTAATCCACATATAACGTTTCTGTAAAGGTGGTTTCACTGCAGTAGTGGGGTGATGCTAAGCCGTGGAACACTTCTTCAACTGTACAGTATTACTAGTGTCGTGCAAATGTTTCAAGTTTCGAATGTTTTTCTAATAGTGTTTGCTGTTCCATTTTATTCACACTGAAACTTTACTGTTCCAAACTATCAAACTTTGCAAAGACAAATGCAGTCAATGTTTGATGGAAAGTGAATAATCAAGTCTGTTATGTTTCGCTTCATCTCCTATTACAGCAAAGGTGCTTTTAGAGCTCTGCTACGGTGGAATTTTTTAAAGACAAGTATAGGCGTCCAATCAAAAGTGATCCCTTCAGATTTTTTATATGCTTCAGCTCATTACATTTTCGTGTTGCGGCAAAACTGTCTTTCGGGCTCTACTACAGTCGCAAATGTAATGACTCAAGAAAACGCTGGTTCCAACATATAGATCATAGATGTGGAAAAGCAGGGGGCTCAATTGAAGCTGTTTTGGACCTGAAATTCGGGCAGAAAGGCCAAAAAGTCAGATGCCGAAGACTGTTAGCATTCAAAATTTCAAATGTTCATGTATGTTGACACCGATGTAGCAGATTTGAAACTCCCAACTTGATGGGAATACTACCTTGTATGCCACAGCAGTTGAAAGAGGAGGAGAGACTGGGAGCGTCTTTGCCCTTCATATGTAAAGTGTTGTCGGCAACACTTTGGTTGCACCTCATCATATACTAATACCATTTGACCTCTGCATTGCCTCGTTCTTGAGAAGGCAACTATTAAATACCAACCCGCCAGCACTTCATAAACCTGGTGAAAAGAAACACTTTCATGTTGCTATGTCTCATTAGAGTATGCTTCGGAATCCTCGCCAACTTTTTTTTTCTGCAGTATTGCTTCAAACTATTCGAAAAAGGTTCTGGAAGTATTCAATTAATGTTCGAAAAATATTCTATTCAATTTGTACTCACACTTCAATATTCAAATTTGCTTCGTGCTCAAAATTTTGCTATTTGCACAGCTCTGATTAGTGCAAATGCAAAGAAGGCAGCCTTGTGCCAATACGCGGGTAGTTTTTTTTCCTCCCACAGTTTGGGGTCAGCGGCGCCGGTTATATACAGAGGTGAGTTAAACAGAAGAAAATATGATATTCAGACTACCCTGGAGGCGTGCCGAGCACAGCGCCGTGAACCAGTGTGCCAAAGCTTCGCTAGCGGCCTACTGATAACTGCAACTAAAAATGACGCTGTGCACTAATGTGGCCATAAGTGAACGACAGCAAGACCTTAACACTTCGTGTCATTTTATGGATGGCTTTATTACCTTTATTCTATGGCTGTGATAGCTGCGCACCTTCAGATCGTGTTCGCTATCGATGAACGACACGATAGCGACCGCTGTTTCCTGCGCAGCGGTTGTGTCAAACAGTAGTTTCATTTTCAATCTGTGCGCGCTGTGCTGGCCGTGCGCGTGACTTACGAAATGCGTCGTTGTTATCTTTGTTCGCATCGTTACAACAAGAAATATTGGATTGAGTCGGTGCGGGTTGACTGCGTGCGTACTTTAGTGATCGCCAATGATCGCGTTCGACAGGACTGCATTTGAGTTCGCAGAGATTGCAACAGGACAGAGTTACGCTGGGACTAGGTGCACGCTGCTAGCGTGTGCGCCTTTACGACGCATGGTTGTCATTGACGATCGCACGGTTAGTGACGACGAGCAGTAGTTCTGTTTTGAGCGAGGCGTCAAAAACATTGGCGGTGGTTTTTGAACATCGCAATTCCGCCCCCGCCCGCATGTCCATGAAATCGAGCGGCAGCAGCGCAGCAGCTGGGGGAGCTGTCGTCGAGCATCTCAATGGTGATAAACTTAGCGGGATGCGCATCTGATGGCAGAAAACATGTCTTGGATAAATACACTGGTATTGAAATGCGCTTTGTATGTCACGGGCCGTCGAGAAATGACCGAGTTGATAGTGATTTTCGCAGCAATCCTACGCAAGCTCTTTTTTCTTATGGGGTAGTACTCGTGATAACTTGGTTAAAATGAAAATATCCAGGTAAAGTATTTGTTGTGATCAGACATTTTTCACATTGTTTTTTATGAGTGACAGACGGGGAAATGAAAATCATTCATTGTGGTGGGAGTTTTGTTGGAGCGAACTTGGTTTCAACTGTATTTGCGCATTCTCTCTATGCTGCTTTGGTGGCAGTCCTAAGTTGGGTATTAAAGGTTTGTTTTATTTACAGGTGCCAAACTGCTGTAGAATGTTGACATTACAGAAATATATGGTATAACAATATTCTCAATATAATGAAGCGGAGACAAGGTCGAAAAAGAGTATTTCTCTCCATAGCTCTATGTCCGTGTTCTATGGACAAAGTGTGTTGGGGTTTTTATTTATTTGTTTTTTTACTTTCATTTGAAGCATACTGCTAGCCTCACATTTGAGGCTGTTGCAGGAAAGGTAAAAATACACATATTCAAAAGAAAACAGTCAGATAAGGTGCATACACAAGTTGAGTTCAGCCGAACATAACGAAGGCTATCCGCAGGAAACTGTGCAAATGCTAGTGGGAATAGTAAAAGCAGTAATAAACAGCATGTTAGAAAATTTAATGCTGAAATAAAAGCAATAACAAAAACTGTGACAAGATAGACAAATGTAATAAGTAAAAAATAGACAGTCATTATACTAGAGAAGAAAGACAAGGTACTGTAATCAAGATGCTGACTACGAAATATATTTTCCCGCATGCCGATGATCACGAAGCATAGTTTGATATCTGGGTGATAAAAGCTTCCAGTGAAATGCACATGACGGCATCATTGGGCAAACCATTCCAGTCTTAAATTGCTTGCGGAAAAAGTAGTATCCGAAAATGTCATTGGGAAATCTGTATTCAGTCAGGTGCTTCGTGTGTTTAGTTTGAAAGCTGGCTGTGTCTAAGTGTAGTAAATAGTTGCTCACATTAATCTTCATGCTACCATTAAGAAGAAGAAAAATAAGTAACCTGGCTCGATTTTCTATAGTGGGGGGTTTCTGTCAGAGAGTCATGACTGCGATACCTATTAAAGATAAATCTAAGTGCTTTCTTTTGTACATTCTCCAGTTTTGCGATGTACTGTTTTTGAAAAGGAAACCAACATACTATTTCATACTCCAATATTGGGCAAACAAGTGACATGTACGCTAGCCATTTAGTGTCAACAGATGCTCATCTAAGTGAGCATTTTATCGAGTACAAAATTGTCAGTGCTTTGTTTACCACAAATGTCACCTGTTTGTCCCATCTGAGGTCTGATGAAGTTATTATTCCTGAATATTTATACTCGTCGACATTCTTCAATATCTTTCCTTCTAAACAATATGGAAAGTTCAAAGGTGTTTTTTTATTCGTCACTGTCATAGTAATCATTTTATTTGCATTAGTCACCATCTATAATGAATGTAATGAAGTTTTTTGGCTGCCGTATAGCAAGACAACTTGAGCTTGTGCCAGTGGTCATATCGCATGGTATTTGCGAGTTGCCCTTGAAGCGGCCTCTGCTGTTTTCCTGGGTATTGGGGAGAGCCATTTTCGAGAACGACGCATCCTTTTACAACAGGGAGCCTGGCAGCCGAATTTTTCAGACTTGACAAATAATCCTGCAGAACAGAAGTTGGTAACACGAATGGGACGTTCGACTCCCTGAACTCTCATGAGAATGTATGGTACACTAGTGCCACCATGCCAGAGGCACCATGTGGGCAAAAATTGGCAGACCCTTAAGCTCATGTTCGAAATGGCTTGTGTCAGTGAAGCTTTTCCATGTGGCAGCATTCTGTGTAATGAATAGCATTACCATGTGAGATTGTAGGCGCAAAATATTTTCGAGCTTGCTATGCACCCACTACGTGGGCTTAAGGAAAAAGGCACGGTAACATATGTGCCTTTTGTAGATGGTGGCCCACTTTAAACAATAAGGTCATCATAATCATGTTCTGATGCCCGATTGCAATGCAACGTACACTTGTACCATGCGTTATTACTGCGATATTACGTGTTGTATTTTGAAGCATGTATACAGTACACGTCACTTTCACTGTATTTCCAAGCAGACACATGGCTCTGGGGCAGAACACCTGTTTACTGTACAAACGTCCCAGGATCAATCCGCACTCTGACCCAGGATTTTTTAATTCTTTATTTTGTTTGCATGCTTCTCGACTTCTTGGTCATGCATAAGATGACAATTTCTCGCTCACAACCAACGACGCCGACGCCTACACCACCGCCAACACTAACACCGGAATTACTGCGAAACGAGCTCTTTAGCGCTATAGCGTTAAAATGATCTTGCTTTTGGTGTGTTCACACCCCCACAACCATGGCACACACTACTCCACCATGTCCACGTTGCATATGCTTCATTATGTAAGGCTACCAGCATGAGTAACCGTTGGTATTAGGCTTGTGTAAATAGTGAGTTTAGGTTTCAAAGTGAATACAGTAAAACGCCATCAATTTGAACTTCACGGGATGGCAGAGAATGTCCGAATTAAAAGTGGGACGTGGCAATGTAAATTTAGTCAAAATCTTCAGTTTTTCAAATAATATTTTTCTGTAATCCTAAGACCATGTTTTACATCATAGTGTGATTTTAGACTAAAATAAGCAGTAGAAGTTGAGAAACAAGCATTTTACTGATGGGCTGTCGTCAAAAGCTGAAAAATTGGGCATAGCAGAATGAAAATTTGCAGCTTTACATCGGCAACGTGCCACCATTCTGGTATCATCATAAAGAGAAAAGGTTGAAGCTCAAGATAGCCGCAAAGATGCCTTTCTCTAATGAAA